GGAAAGGCAGGAGAGTAGCCAGAGGTTTCAGCAGCAGCAACTGGTTTGAGAACATTTTTGAGAAATTCGGATACTCCTGATGTTTTTCTGGCTGCCATGAAGTGTTTCAGGGGATGCAGGAAAAACTCAGCTGTGTTGCAGGAGCACAACCCACCCTGGCTCCTCAAAGGGCAGGCCCCCACACTGTCATCTCCAGCTGGTGACCTGCTCAGGGCCACTGCTGTGCCAAGCTCAGCAACTGCCCTGTCATGGGTCGAGCACTTGGAGAACTCACCAGGGTGGACAGGATGTGCCAAGAATCCCAAGAGCCTTTGCCCAAAGTCATCCAAGTTGTCTCTCCCTCAGGCATCATGTTTTGGTGGCAAATGGTCTCGGCTGCTAATGGGGGTCTGGGGACAATGCTCCAGCTTTGCTGATCTTCTTGTTTTTTGTCTTTCTCCTCTCCCACTTCTGGACTCACAGCAAACCCTGGAGACAAATCTCACCAACCTGGTTAAACGCAACAGTGAACTGGAGAACCAGATGGCCAAGCTGATCCAGATCTGCCAGCAAGTGGAGGTTGGTGAGAGGGGGCAGGAACCAGGGGGGTGAGGGGGAAGGTGCCCCGGGAAGCTCTTGGCTCAAGAGATGGGGTGCTCCTGTGTCCTGTCCATGAGGGCTGCCCTGGGGGCAGAGCTGAGCGTGGTGGGAAGTGTTGCTGACACCGAGGGACTGGCAGGAGGCTGAATTGTTTCCAAGAGTTTAGTCCCTAGCAATGGAGGATGTGGGGATGGTTCCCAGGGGTCTGTAGGGTCTGAGGGAGAGGGTGGAATGACTGGGAGCCACTGGGAAGAGACCCAGGACCTGCCAGCTGCTCTGCACATGGGGGACAGCGGGTGCTTTGGGTGCAGTGTGGGTGACACAGCATCCAAACAGCTCTGCTCTCGGGGAGCAGCATCCAGCCTTTCTCCCGCTTTGCAGTGGCAGGTGGTCTTCCTTGCTTTCCTCCCTCCTCCCAAACACGTGCACTTGTCTCTCTGCACCCTTCTGCCGTCAGGGACAGGGCACCTCCTGCCCGAGCCCCCCAGCAGGGGGGCACCACTGGGGCTCAGGCCAGCAGGGAGGGGGAAGGGGTTTGTGCAGCGGCGGCAGCGGGAGGAGGGGGCAGGACCCTCCATCCTGAGAGGCACAGGACTGAGCTGGCCTGGCTGCTCTCACCACTTGATCTCTAAGGCTCTTTGTCCCGGGGTGCAGTCAGGCATCTGCTTGTGCCGTGGGCCCACAGCCCGTGCCAGGATCCCGGCGCTGCCTCTTGGCTGGAGCCAGGAGCTGAGGAGCGACGCGCTCGGGTGCCGGGATTCCGGAGGAAGAGGGCGGTTCAGGCCTTGCTGTTGTTTCAAAGTGCACATGCCAATTAATGGCTAATTAATTTTCAGCTTTGTTTACTGGAATGATACATGGAGAGAGGCTGTCGCAATTAGTTTCTTTGTAATGAGCTCTTGATATTTTTGGTTGCTAAATTCAGCAGCAGTTCCGTGAACCGGCACCTTCCCAGGGAGCACAAAGACCAGCTCCTGCAGGGATCTCTGACGGGAAGTCGGGGGGGTTGCCAGAGCCTGAGCAAACACGATGGCTTTTTGCTGCCCCCTCGGTCACTCGAGCCCTCACTGGGGACACGCAAGCCCTGTGGCTTCCCGTGTCCAAGCTGCCTCTGGGCTGGGCAGGTGGGATGGAGGGCGGCTGCTGCTGCCAGCCCGACTCTGGGGCCAGGAAGGTGCACCCCAACCCCTGTGTAACCCGCAGGCAGCACCACTGGTTTGTTCCTGGCTCACTAGGTAAGGTCCTTGGTCCTGTCCTGATGATCTGCAGAGGAGAAGGGTGCAGAACCCTTTCTGAGAGTGCTGGTCTCCAGGAGCAAGGATGTTGGCTGAGCTGCAGGTTTCTTCCTGGGGCGGGCTTGCAGCTTTAGGATTAATTTGCTCAGGAGCCCGGGATCTCTGCTTGGCATGCCAGGCTGGAGGGGGTCCTGGTGCTTGCTGAAGGACCACCCCCTCCTCCTGCTGCTCTTGCTCTGCAGCCCAGGCACCCAGGGCTCCGTGCTGCCGGCAGAAGGGAGCACCGGGGCTGCAGAGCCGGGGGGACACCCCGGCGAGCGGCAGCGTCCCAGCCCCGGGACCCGCGGCGCTGCCGCCCGCGCAGGTCGCTGCGGGCTCCAAACCCACCCTCGGCAGCTCCTCCCTCGGCAGAGCTGTCTCTGCAGACCATCGCCTGTCTCCCACTGCCGTGTTGCATAATCTGCTGCCCAGGTTTAAAAAAAGATCTTGTATCAAATGTGTTTGGCTCTGGGCTGCCTTCAGACTTTGCACACAGCTCTGAGAGTACAAAATGAAGAAAACCCGTCTATGCCCTCGAGTTCACTGTTTCATTGAAGGGATAGGGCTCAATTCTCCTTCTGTCAAGTCTCTCCCCCCTTTCCTGTCCATCTCCCCAAGGATGCTGGTCTTTCCTGGAGCCAGGGGCTGAAACCTCCGCCTGGGCTTTCACTGCACACTTTGCATTCCTTCCTTCCAGATTTCAAATAAATAAATAAAATTTTAAAAAGTTGCATTTGAAGCCTGAAAAGGGGCCCAGCAGGGATTAATTAGCCAAAATTAGGCAGGACACGTGGCTTTTGCAGCTTTTTTGGTAGAAGGAAGTCACTGTTTCCTGCTGCCTCCTGGGGCAGAAGTTCCCCTCTGCTTAGGGGAGGGGCAGGGTGGGAGCTCCGTGTGGGACCTGCATCTCCCTCAGTCCCAGCAGGGAGGGCCGTGGGGCTGCTGGGCTCGGGGGCTGGTGTGTCCCTCTGACACGTGTGCTTTTGCTGCCCCTGGGCAGGTGAACACCGCCATGCACGAGGCCAAGCTGATGGAGGAGTGTGATGAGCTCATGGAGATCATCCGCCAGCGCAAGCAGGTCATCGCCGTCAAGATCAAGGAGACCAAGGTGAGGAGGGTTGGCTCGTGTGCCCGGGGTCTGAGGGTCCTCTCCTCTGGGGTGGCCACTGCAGGCTCTGTCCCTCCTGTCCTGGCACAGCACAACAGTTGGGCAACCGGTGGTACTGGGATGTCCCAGGCACACACTGAGGGGGCATGAGTGGTCTTGCTGGTGCTGGAAGAGCTTTGGGCACCATCAGTGCACACAGTGTCACCTCCCTGCTGCCCTGAGCCATGTGTGGGTCTGGGTGTCCCTGCTCCTGCTGTCCCCAGGGATCTTCTGCTGAGGAGAAGTGCTTGTCATGGCTGGAGGAGGGAGGGCATGCAGATGAGCATGGCACATAGGTGCAGTGCCTTGGATTGTTCCAGACAGGACTCTTCCCACACGGAGCTGCCAGCAGAG